GGCTTCGCCTCCTCCCGGCCTCGTTCTGAGGCTGCGCCCCCCTTTTCCTCCCCCATCCCTGGTTAATTCACGCTTCGCGCGGCCCGCTTAGCTTCGACTGGAAGAGGTGCGCTCTCGACCCGCGAATCAAAAAGTGTTCGGGCGTCTGGTGGGTGTCTGGGGCCTCTTGGGCCCTCGGGGTGGTGTTCGGCCGCCCTCCTGACCGATTTGGGCCCGTTGCCTTGGCCCAGCAAGGGCTTCCAGGAGTTCTGAAACGCTTGGGGGGCCTGCAGGGGCGTCCAGGGGGTCCCTGGGGCCACGGATCGGGGGGTCCGGAGGGTCCCGGGAGCCTGGGATTCGGGGGGACCGATTTCGGAGGGGGGTGTCCTGGGTAATAAAAATAGATGAATGGGTGATGTATGTATGTGTGTATGTATGTATGTGTGTATGTATGTATGTAATGTATGTATGTATGTATGTATGTATGTATGTATGTATGTATGTATGTATGTATGTATGTATGTATGTATGTATGTATGTATGTATGTGTGTATGTGTGTATGTGTGTATGTGTGTATGCATGTCTGTCTGTCTGTCTGTCTGTCTGTCTGTCTGTTTGTATGTATATATGTATGTATGTATGTATGTATATATATATGTATATACATATGTATGTGCACATATACAACACATATACATCGACATAAACATACACATCACCATATACACACACGTGTGCATATACATCGTCATACAGCTGAAATATACATGTGCATGTACGTGTGCGTGTACATGTAGATATACCTATATACACACGTTCATCTCCATATGCATATACATATACAGTACATATACATGTACATGCACACACACATGTATACACACATACATATACATATGCGTACCCCTACATGTACACATACACAAACATATACATATACAAATACACATACATATACACATACACATACACATACACATACATATACATACACATATAAAGTTACATAAGCAGTTACGCATACATATATATGCACATATGCATATACATATACGTGTACATTTACATATACACATACATGCATACACCAACCATATACATATACATATACACATACATCATACACATATGCGTATACACATGTGTAGTGGCCTTTAGCCCACTCCGCCACCGTGCCTGGGTTGTTGGTTAGAGGCCTCTGGGATGCCTGTGGGGATCGGAGGAATCTCGGACGCCGTTTGGAGGCGGTTTGAGAGTGGCTTTGGGGCCTGAGTTGGGCCTCTTCAAGGCTTGCTGAAGCCTTTTGGGCGCTGCTTGGGGGCCTGCTGGCTGTTTCGAACGTCGTCTTGGGGCGGAGAGCTCGAAACGTCGGTTCATGATCCCCTTCTGGGGCTTCTCTTGGGCCTATCTTGGGGGATTCTTGGGCCGTCTGGGGGCCCTCTTGGGGACCGTCCTGGAGCGATCTTGGGGGCTTCTTGGGTCGTCTTAGAGCGTCGAAAGCCCAGAAAGGTGAGAATGCTAAAATCCTTCAAAAACAAGTTCAACATAATGAGTTTGGCCTTTCGGGGCCCCCTTGGAGGGCCTGTTGGAGCCCTCTTGGGGCGTCTTGGGGGCCTCTTGGGCCGTCCAGCGGCCGTCTTGGGCGTCTTGGAGCAGTCCTCGGGTGGCTCGTGGCGCTCTTTGACCGCCCTGGCGGGCTACTGGGGCCCTCCCGGCTCGTCTCGGGGGCCCGTTTTGCTCCGAACCGGTCACGCGGGACCACACGCCACGCGGGGCTACACGCGACGCCCCAGGAGGCACGCGTCGCGCCCTGGAGACACCGGAGGACGGTGGACCCCAAGGGGCGTGAGGGCGCTCCAGCTCGTGCCCGGGGGCAGGGTGGCGGAGACTTGGACAGGTCTGCACTGGCGCTTCGTGCCATGCATCTGGGTTCTTCAGCTTTGGCCTGCGGGTGGAACGAGAGAGGGGCAAACACGCAAAAAACAACGATGACTCTTGGTTGCCGCTTTCGTCGTCGTCGTCGTAACAGATGAATCGGTTGTTCCTTCTCGTTCCCTAGGTCGTCCTCTTCCTCTCTCTCCCCTTACCCTGGACCCTTCCCCGTCCTCCTCCGTTTTTGAAGAGGCTCCTCCTCGGACAAGCCGTTTGGGAGCCTCGCGAAATACTGAAAACGGGCTTCTTGGGGTTCTTCTGGAGGCCTCCCGGGCGCATTTTGGGGCCTCTGGGGGCTTCCTCGGGCCGAACCGCGATCTCCCTCAGCGACCGGGTAACGATTCGGAGTGCTTCGGGGGCTATCTCGAGGCCATCTTGAGCCGTCACGGGGCTCTCGGACCACCTTGGGGCCCTGGTGGGCCCTCTTGTGGCTCTCTTGGTGGGCTTTCTCCAGGCCCTGCCAAGTCATTTTGGGACGATTTCTGGGGCTTCCTGGACATTTTCGGTCGCCCAGAAGGCCGAATAACGACGCATCCAAACATCATCCAAGTTATCGGACAGTGTTCCTTTGTGTTCGGAGGGCCTTTAGGAGGGTTTTTGGGCTGTATTCGGGCGTCTGGTGGGTGTCTGGGGCCGCTTGGGGTTATCGCGGGGCTTTCTGGCCACCCTTCTTCCAGGAGGCCCAGAAGTCACGAGGGACCTTCGGCAAGAGCGGCATGGGGTCCACGGGAACCGAGGATCCGAAGCTCTGGCTTGGGGGGTGTCCCCGCCCCCCCCCAGGTTGTAAAAACATGGATCAAGGACTACGCATGTGTGTATATGTATACACATGCACGTGTGTATGACGTGTGGGGTGCGGGGGCACAGATATCCGATACGTTCTCGGGATAGTCGAGGACGCACTATGTAAAGCATTTGAAGGCTTGGAGATCGTCAGGTCGGGTTTGGTTGTGGACGCCGCGACGTGCTGTGAGCAAGCAGTGGCCTGCGCTCCTCTGCGAGCGGTTCAACGGCAAGCAGCTTGCCAAGAGGTACCTCACGAAGCCCTTCACCAAGCGGCTCCGGCGCCGTAGCCTAGCCAGGGCCAGGCCTTTTTCCCCCAGCCCGGGTGCGGGGTCAGCGCAGGCGTAGCCTGTGCTGATGATCCCGCGGAGCAGCCAGGCGTTCAGGGCCCCCGCACGTGCGGAGGTGACGACCCTTCCCTCATGTGCGAGCGACAGTCACGGCCTTGACTGTCGCTTTCTCATGTGCGAGCGTGAACGTTTTAACATTGCACCCACATCAACTCACGCGCTCCTATGCCAACGTGGGTGGTGTGCGCATGCGCAGTAAGGTGATTCTTGTTGAGCAGCAGTTTCACGATCGATCCATTGACGTAGTTGGTGTTCAGGAGGGGCGCTCCCCGAGTTCGGAGCAGACCGGTGGCCAGCACTACGCCATGCTGGCTGCCGCGTCCGAGCCCGACGGCTCCCTCGGAGTGCAATGTTGGGTCCACCATCGTGCCCGCGCGCGCTACGGGCATGCTGTCTCTCCCCGCGTCATTGATGCGGTGGTCCGCGTTGGCCACCTGGAGCTCGGTTTCCTGGGTGCTCATGCTCCGCACTCTCTGGCCAGTGAGTCTGGAGTCTGTCCGTGTCCCAGTGGTGGGCGGAGCTCACCCGCGTGCAGCTACGGCTACTTCAATCTTACCCCCTGCCGTGGATAGTGTTGCTTGATGCGAATGGCCGGGTCGGCTCAGTGCCCTCGCGCGTGGTAGGCCCCAGTCAACCCGGAAATGAGAATTCGAACGGAGCTTTGCTGCGCACACTTGCCGAAGATTTCTGTTTACTTGGGGCGATGGTGGGTACGGGCGTCCACGCATGCCACCACTTCTCGAATTGATCATATGATTGTGCCAGAAGTTATTTGCGTCAGCGTGACCAGCATTGTTGTACATCGCAGCATTGATGTAACTCTTTCCGCCAAAGACGATCATAATGCCGTCGCGTTGCGCTCAAAGGCTGTCCCATGTGATGCTCAGCGCGCTTTCAGCCCCGCTTTCAAATTTCACAAGCACAACCTTCAAACAGTGCCCCGTTGTGACCTTCTCCAGTAACTCATGTGACTCGTTCCGCAGATTCCTCCTTCTTCTTCTCTGCATGTTGATGACCACGTTGAAATTGAATGCATGGACTCGGTGGGCAACGCTGTAAAATTTTGGTCCCCCCGACAAGCAACCCAGAAAGGTATGGTTGTCTTCTCGGGCTTGGCGGCAGGTAATTCAACACATTGCTCCATTGCGCCGTGCCCGATTCGCAGCCACCACCGCCAGGCGCCAGTGCTGTTTAGCGTTGTTCTTGCACGCGTGGCGTGAAAATTGTGACAGGATTTCGAAGTTCCCAGTGCCGCGTGGATTGGGGGCGGAGGTCCGGAAGAGGTTCTGGCAGGAGGCGTGCATCACGGCATTCACTTTCCAGCTTCAGAAATGTGCGCGCCCGATCATTGACGAGGATCGCCGCGCCTACCTGGATTCTCTCGCCGTGAGCGCTTCGCGTGCCACTGATGCTCACGATGCTCGTCAGGCTTTCACAGTTCTGCGCGCCCCGGGAGCGCGCGCCCTTCGCCCGAGCCAGGGTTTGCGCGACTTTGAAGGCGCCTTGACTTCCACAAGTGAGCAGGCGAAACACGTTTGGCAAGCTCATGTGAAAGATGTGTGTCGTGGCGAAATCATAGACAAAGCCAGAGGCTGCCACTGCCGGAACCCCTCACGTCCACTTCCGCCCCAGTGTGCCCCCCTTTTCATTCTCTTCCTCCTGTTCCTCCCGCTTCTTCTCTTGATGTAGGTCCCGAGGCCACTTGGCGTGCCTACCGGGCCCTTGGTCGAAACAAGGGAGTCGAATCTGATGGGATCCCTGCCAAGCTGCTCCAGGCTGGGGATCCTGCTCTTGCTGTCGAATATTCTGACGTCAGTGAGCGCGCCAAAGCCACAAGTGCTTGCGCAGCTCAGTAGCGCGGGGGGTGATCCCAATAAGTTTTTCCAACGGAAAGGCGACCCCCTTAAACACGGACGATTATCGCAACACTTTGTTCGCCGATCATGCTAGCAAAGGTTTGACGGCCACGCTGCAGCAGGCTGTGACGCCAGCGTACGTTGCCCACGAGCCTCAGTCCCAGTATGGCGCGATCCCTGGCCGAGGCACGGACATGGCGTCGCACGTGTTGCATTCGATCATTGATTACGACTGCGCAGCGAACCTTTCTATTTTCGTGTTGTACGTTGATCTTACGAAGGCGTTTGATCGAGTGAACTCATGTATGGCTGGGGGGAGGTGCCTGCGTCTGCCCACCGTTCCCATTTCTTCTCGCTCGGTGTGACTGAGCCGGCTGCGGATTGGATGCTCGAGTATCTACCGCAGCACGGCCATTTTGTCTAGCAGTGGGGAAATCACGAGGATGTCGCACGTATGATGCGCACGTTGCGTGAAGGCGCACGGGCTTCCGTTTCTGATCTCCCGACTTGCGTTACGAACCACACTGGAGGGAGGCAGGGGTGCAAATTTGGCGCCCTCACGTTTAATGGAGTCTGTGGGATCGCCGGGGACATCATTGCGAGACAGCTCAAGGAGAAAGGGATCACCCTCCGTCTCCCCTCCCCCTCCGATCCCTTCTGGGCTCCTCCTTCCCAGGGCCCTGCAACAGAGTCTGTCCTGGACGCTGCGTTCATTGATGACGAGGCTCTTGCAATTACTGCCCGCTCTCCGCAACAACTAGATGAGAATATCGATGCGCTGCTGGATGTGCTTTTCAATACCTTTGAACATTTGCACCTCCAGCTAACTGCCTCCCCTGGGAAGACCGAGGCTCTTCTGGAATACAGAGGCCCGAAGGCCACCGCTCGGCGCGAAGCTCGCCGCGATGCAACCGGTCAGTCGGGCGTGAAGGTCCCGGGTAGAGATGTCCACATTCGTGTTGTAGGATCCTTTAAGCATCTTGGCACGGCCACTTCCTTCCGCGCCAGTATTAATTGCGATGCGATCGCAAAGGTTGCCAAGACCCGCGCTGCAGATGCCCCTTTGTCGTACAAGGTGTTTGGTTCCGTGCATGTCGATCGCGCACACGAGTTGTACTTCATGCGGTGCTTGTTGATGTCTAAGCTCCTGTTTTGCATTCGCGTGCTCGTTCCGTCTGCGCGCCATTTGAAACGTCTCAACGCAGTGTACATGACAGTGCTTCGACGTATACTTGACGAGCCTCGGCTCCAGCACTCTGAGCACACAGATCGCGAAGTGCACGAGGCATTGCACCAGCCCGCTCTCGAATGTTTGGTCTCTCGTCTCCGCCTGAAGTACTGCGCTCGCTTGCTGCGCACTCCCCCTGCCGCATTGCTCGCCTAGCTGGGTGCGAGACCTGGGGGGCACAAGCTGAAGTGGATCCAGGCCTCAGAAAGAGATGCTGAGTTCCTCCGGCCCCACCTCCCTGACGGCTTCCCTGGGTTGTGTGAGGATCCTAAGGCTTGGGTGCATATCATGCAGGACGAAAGCTCATGGAAGGTGCTCGTGGACCGCACCTTCTTGTGCGATCCGGTGTGCGACGCGACAGGCGCCCTGCACCCAGCGCAGGGTCGCGAGTCTCACGTCTGCCATTGCGGAGCTGCTTTCTCCTCCTCCGGGGGGGTGCAGAGCCACCAGCGTGCTCAGCACGGCGTTCGCCTGTTGATACGTTGCTATCTTCCTGGCTCGAAGTGCCCCCCGCGTGCGGCACCGATTTCGTGCAACGTTTGCGATTGATCGCTCTCGTGTCGGGTTCGCGTCCCCAGAAATGCCGCGATTGGATATTATTGCGCTCTCCTCGTTTGTCTGACTCCGAGGTCGCAAAGCTTGATGAAGTAGACCGCGAACAGCGCAGGTCTCCCCAGAGAGCTGGTCATAGCCACCACTTGGCTATGGCACCCGCGTGTTCTGCTGACGGAAAAGTCTTCGGCCGAGTTCGCGCCTGAATTAATGAATCCAGTAACGTGGTATCATCTTGAGACTGCAATTCCTCGACGAATAAAGATGTACATGTAGTGTACGTACATACACCGAGCGAGTGGAGAGGGAGAGAGAGACAGAGAGAGAGAGAGAGAGAAAGTGGGAGGGAGTGAAAGGCAGAGAGAGAGAGAGAGAAAGACAGACAGACAGACAGACAGACAGACAGACAGACAGACAGACAGACAGACAGACAGACAGACAGACAGACAGAGACAGACAGACAGACAGACAGACAGACAGACAAGAAAGGGCAGGGCAAAGGGGCAAGCAGAAGAAGCGAAGCATGACGAGGAGAAGGGTGAGGAGGAAGGGACGAGGATGGGGAATGGGAGCGAGGGATGGAGGGAGAGAGGAGAAGCAGAAGGAGAAGGGGGAGGAGGGGGCGGAGGAGGTCCAGGAAGCCGAGCATGAGGCGGAGGAGGAAGAGGAGGAGGAGGAGGAGGAGCAGGAAGAGGATAAGGAGGAGCAGGAAGATGGAGAAAGACGAATGGAGCAGGAGGACCCCCGCCTCCCCCGACGAGCCCCCCCGCCCGTCCTGCTTCCAGACCCTCGCGTACGTGCTGCCGGCCTTCGAGATGGTCCTGCGCAGCAAGCCGCGCCCGGCCGGCAGCCGCCACCCCGTTGCGCTCATCATCGTGCCCTCGTCGGAGCTCGTGTTCCAGGCGCTTGCCGGCCCCTCTCGGGGGCAATCGCGCCCAAGACCTCTGGCGGTGTGATTTTTGTTGGTTCGATCGACCTTGATCGGCGGCTTTCTTTGATCGATCGATCTCGAGCTCGAGCTCGAGCTCGATCGATTTTTTGTTCCGCTGGCGGCCTTCCTTGGATCTCGTCCCCCGGGGGCCGTGTTTCGGGGCCCTGTGGGGCCATCAAGACGAGTGATCCAGGGCCATCGAACCGTTCATCATACACGGGACTTTCTTGGAACTACCTTGCACGACATCTGGCGCAGAGGCAATTGTTTTGGACGAGGCATCTGTTGACGGGCGAAAAGCTGAAACTGTGGTTTCTTACGTCGAACCAGCTGCGGCCGCGGACGGAAAAAGTCAGATCGGAGATTTTCGGGTGATGTTATGCTATGATTGGTTGAGGATGCGTTGCAGGATTGCCAGACCCTCTGGCTGCCCTTGTTTCTGGAGTCCGCAAGGAATCAGACAACCCTCGTCAAAATGAATCGCAAAAATATCTCACGCGACTGAACTGTTTGTGGGGAAATACTGAACAGAGTAGCGGCGACTGCGGGGTACTTGTATGCGCCGCCCCTCCAATGTCGGTCATCATCGAACTTCCGAATCGTTCCCTGTCAGGCCACCTTTGCCCTGGCCCCGACATTGGAGGGGCGTTTATCGACATTGAAGGGCGCGCCGACATCGCAGGGGTGTGTTCGCCATTTTTGAGGTCAAGGTTGACGAGGGTAGCCGGAAGTGTCTGAAATCTTGCGACGTCTCAAGTTCAGGACTGCCTGCTCCCCTGACCTCTAAGCTGGGCGCCCTCGTCGCGCTCGCCTGTCAGGTCGCAGGCCGGCGGTTGCTTGGGGCCCCAGGTCCTCCGCCGATCTGGTTCTTCCGATCTGGTTCCTCCTCCTCCTCCTCCTCCCCCTCCTCCTGCCCTTCCTCCTCCTACTCCCCCTCCTCCTGCCCTTCCTCCCCTCCTCGTCCTCCTCCCCCTCCTCCTCCCCCTCCCCCTCCTCCTCTTCTCCTCCCCCTCCCCTCTCCTCCTCCTCCTCCTCCTCCTCCTCCTCCTCCTCCTCCTCCTCCTCCTCCTCCACCTTCTTCTCCTCCTCCTCCCTCCTCCGCTCCCCCTCCTCCTCCTCCTCCTCCTCCTCCTCCCCCTCCTCCTCCTCCTCCTCCTCCTCCTCCCCCTCCTCCTCCTCCCCCCTCCTCCTCCTCTCCTCCTCCTCCTCCTCCTCCTCCTCCTCCTCCTCCTCCCCCCTCCTCCCCTCCTCCTCCTCCTCCCGCCTCCTCCTCCTCCTCCTCCTCCTCCTCCTCCTCCGCTTCCTCCTCCTCCGCTTCCTGGGGCAGTGCTTCGCCCCGGGGCCGCATTCTGGCACGGCCGTGCAGGCGACGAGGAGGGTGCCGCTCGGGAGTGGCCAGCTGCACTCCAGGCTTGGGCACCAGGAGCTGTGCGCAGGAGGGAAAAAACACACAGACACAATTAATCGTCGATCCCCCAGAAAATATGGGAAAATATGGGAAGTGGGGGGTAAGACGAAAATCCAACAACTATAGGAAAGTATGGCGAGTCATGGCATTTGTGTGTATGTATTTGTGTGTCCCAGGGCCCCTTTATGTGCGCAGATCCCCCTCTCTGCACGCCTTGCCCGCCTGGGTGGACTTCGAACTGCTGTTCGTCACACTGGCCCCTTGCTTCTTCTTGCTGCTGCAGCCCTCGCCCACGGTAGATTCGCGTCGTGTCGATTGCCGCCGGCGACTCAGAATCGTTCGATGTTGAACGATCTGACGTTTCGGAAACGGCCGATCTTTCAAGGTTGACTGGTCCCTGCGGTGTCAGACACCAACGCCGAAGTCGGAACAACACGAACCTGTCGTACCTTCTAACATTTCCAACGTCGCGAATTTTCGCACGTGTGCTCTGAAGCTCTCGACCTCACCTGTGCCCTACAAGACCCAAAGGGTCCCCTCGCAGCCACCGAGACGTTTGGAGGAAAACGCCCGTCGTGATCGCATCGCGACGCCGGGAGGTCTCCCCCCCTCCCCCCCGAAAGTTCTCGACCTCATCTCCAGAACTTCCCCACAGCCCTACAAGCCTCATCAAAAATACATTGGAACGCTGTTCAAAATCGAAGCGCTCGATAGTTCGGACACTTGTCAGAAAGCGCGTTCTTCAATGCAGTGAGGGTACTGCCGGATTTCGGACACCCCTGTGTCTGGGTCGAATTCCCCATGCCAGCATTGAAGTAGGGCAGACCACGCAAACACCGAGTCTTGGAGGACCCATACGGCCCCCCCCCCCTGCCACCGAGACGTTCGGTGAGAAGGCGCCCGCCGTGATCGAGTCGCGACGCCAGGAAGTCCCCCCGTGAAAACCCCAGGGCCCTGGGACCCAAAAGGGCCCGTCCCCTGCCACCGAGACGTTTGGAGGAAAGGCGCCCGTCGTGATCGCGTCGCGACGCCAGGAGGTCCCCCCCCCTGGAAACCCCAGGGCCCTGGGACCCAACAGGGCCCGTCCCCTGCCACCGAGATGCTTGGAGGAAAGGCGCCCGTCGTGATCGCGTCGCGACGCCGGGAGGTCCCCGCCCCTGTAAACCCCAGGGCCCTGGGACCCCCAAAAGGCCCCCCCCCCCCAGCCCACCGGGACGTTTGGAGGAAAGGCGCCCGCCGTGATCGCGTCGCGACGCCGGGCCCTGCAGATCGGCCCCCCCGGACCTGCCCTGCGGGGGCGTCTGGGCCAGGCTGCGAAGAGGCGGGCCCGGCCGTGGCGGCGAGCGCGCCCTCCGGAGGCACGGCAGAGAGGCCCACGGAGCGTCCCGACGACCTTCGCCCTCCTCCTCCACCCTCCCTCCACCCTCCTCCTCCTCCTCCTCCTCCTCCTCCTTCTCCTCCTCCTCCTCCTCCTCCTCCTTCTCCTCCTCCTCCTCCTCCGCCCTCCTCCTCCTCCTCCTCCTCCTCCTCCTCCTCCTCCTCCCCCTCCTCCTCCTCCTCCACCCTCCTCCTCCTCCTCCGGGCCGTGGGCCTGGAGGCCGGGGACCTATATGTTGCTCCTGTTCCCTGCGGGTTTCGCGGAAGCTATCCCTATGCCTGGTGGGGAGGGCTGGCGGGGCTGGAGTGCCTTGGCCCCGCGGGGATGGGAATCGAATAGACGATGCTGAGCTGCGGCTCGGGGGCACCCCGCCGTCGACGTTGCCAAAAAGCTCTCACATCGCAAAAGGTCACGCCCGGACCCCTGGACCCCATCTCGTCTGCATCGGTTTTCGAGCCGGATCGACACATGAGGGCCCCGGGCCCCGAACTCGAGCGAAAACCGCAGAGATCCGATGTCATGATTGTTTCAATACGGGGTCCCCTGAAGTCTCGACCCTTTTCCCAGGACCAGGTTTTCATCCTGAGTCGTTATTTGACGGTCCCAGGGCCCGGCGAGGGCCCCTAGAGGCCGAAATTGCGAAAAACCTTCGTCTTGATTTTTTTCAGTGCGCCGGATCTCTGGGACGCCCGCTGTAAAAAATGGCAGCGCTGGGACCTCCGGGGTCGATGTCTCGGTCTCCTCCGTCGTGCCAGCCGGCGCCAGGTGTCAGTATCTTTTATCCGATCCCCATCCCCCCGTCCCCATCCCTTTCGAGACCCCCACCCAATCACCACTCCAGCTGGGTATACACCTCTCGAAACCCGAAGGGAACGGCCTATATCCCCATCTAGGAGTCTAGGAGGGTAAATCGGCCAGTGGGGCCCAGGCCACGCCGCTGGGGATGGGGATCGGTTGAACGGTACTCAGTTGCCAAAAGTTGTCACATCGCAAAGGATCACGCCCCGGACCCCTGGACCCCATCTTGCCTGCGTCAGTCTTCGAGCCGGATCGACACGTGAGGGCCCCGGGGCCCGAGCTCGAGCGACAGCGCCCGTCGTGAAAAGGATGGCCACGCCAGGTGGAGGCCGTGTGCGCCCAGATCGCGAGGGGGATCTACGGCCGAGAGGTCACGGTGAAGGGCGTCCACAGGCTCTGGGCGGCGCGCGCGCTCCTCGGGCTGTTTTCTCCGCGCTGGGGGGGGGGCACAGGCCCCAGTCGGCGTCGTCGCCTCTGTCGAGGAGGAGGGGGAGGAAGGAGGAGGAGGAGGGGGAGGAAGGAGGAGGAGGAGGGGGAGGAAGGGGGAGGAGAGGAGGAGGAGGAGAGGAGGGGGAGGGGAGGAGAGGAGGAGGAGGAGGAGGAGGAGGTCAGGTCAGGTCAGGTCAGGCCAGATCAGGTCAGGTCAGGTCAGGTGAGGTCAGGTCGGGTCGGGTCGGGTCGTGTCAGGTCAGGCAATCCTCGAAGGTTTCTCGGTGGGCAGACAGCCAGGGGGGTGAAGCACCAAAACTTCAGCCCACTGCCCCAAACATGGGGCGGCAGAAACTCAAACCTAAGCGTTCTTAGATAACTCAAAACCTGAGCGGTCTTGGAGAGACAGGAGGCATAGGGTCCAGGGCCCAGGGCACGAAAGAGGGCCAGTCGGACAGGAGGAGGAGGAGGCGGAGGAGGAGGAGGAGGAGCACCAGTCGTACAGTCGATCGGGGTCCGCAGGAGAAAGGGCCACCGAGCCTTGAGACGCCAATGCCGCCGTGCCAGCCAGCAGCGACACTTTTCGAACCAAACGTTTGATGTGTTGTCGACGCGTGCTTCGACCAAATTCGAATCGCTACCACCTGCCGCGACGACCTCGCCAACTGCAGCAGCTGCAACAGTGCTGAGAAACTCCCTGGCTCGAAGTGGCCCACTTACGTTTTGCATCTGGGGTGATCTTCCCATCCGACGATTTCTTGAGACCAGCCCAGTCGCGCATGACCTTGGATCCACGACCTCCGACACAGCGCACCCTGCATACTTCTTATCCGCTCGAGAAGGTCGCCCTGTGGCTTCGGAAATAAAAGAAAGCAACAGGGGAAGGGAAGAGCAAGAGCAGCAGCAGCAGCAGCAGCAGCAGCAGCAGCAGCAGCAGCAGCACGGCCGACGGCCGCCAACCTGGCGCCCCAGCTCCGCGGGGCGCCCCAGCCGTACTGGTAGGCGCGCAGGGCCGCTGCCGCGGCCTGCAGCGCCGCGGGCCCCAGGGCGGCGGGGGCGCGCGCCGCCGCCTGCAGCCCCGCCACGCCCGCGACTGTCTTCCGCGCGCGCCTCCGCCGGGCCTGGCGCTCGCGGAGCCGCGGCGTCTCCGCCGGCCGCCCCAGCGGTCCTGCCGGCGCCGGTTCGCGCTCCTGGCGCTTGCGCCGCCGCGGTGCTTCCGAGGCTTCCGGGGCGCTGCCGCTCCCGGCGGAGCTGCCGTCGGAGGCCTCGGCGCTGCCGCTATCCTGCTGGCGGAGCTGCCGGAGCCGAAGCCGCAGGGGAGCCGCTGTCGCGGGTCTCGCTGCCGCGGCTGCTGGGGGGGTTTTATGCCCCTCCACGGTCTCCCGCTAGGGGCGGGTACAGACAACACGCCGCCAGATGTGTGGACTCGGTGCCCCATCACAGAGCGCGTTCCACGACTCGCAGAGCACCTACTCGCAAACGTCAGACAAAAAACAACTGTCTGCCTCGATGTAATGCATCGTAACCCCCCACGGCGGATCCAGGCAATTTAAGAGTAGTTACTATGCGAGTGGTGGAACACGCTTGTCTAGCCCAGGTCCTAAACATATCGCGGTGATCCCCTGGAGTGGAATGCGAGACCTTGGCAGCCCGAGACCGTGGGCAAGGAAGCCATGATTCATTATCGGATATCTTCTGGCCCTTCGTCTCCCGTCTGCTTTTGCACGATTTGCCTTGCAGCGTCCCATAGCGCTCCCACGTGCGACACCTCTGCTACTTCAAATGTGTTCTCGCATGCTGCATATGCTCTGGACTGATCACCGCCAGCGCTCGCCTTCGGCTACGCGCAGAAGGGGGGTAGGGGGAGGGGGGAAGGCTTCTCAGAAGCACCCCTGCTTCTTAGAAGGCGCGGGCCAGGTCTGCAGATGTGGGGCTGGCGCCTTCTGAGAAGCAGCCTCCTTCTGAGAAGCATCCCTCCCTCCCCCATGCCCCTCCTTAAACGCCGCCAAATCCTGCGGGACGTTCTCTGCTTGACGCGGGGTTGCTCGTGAGCATTCATCGATTTCCCTTGATCGAGGCCACCCGCCTCTGCTCCGAGGCCCTCCTGGGCACGAGCGGGCTCTGCGGCGGGTCGCGAGCGACTCTGGCGCGCGTCCCCGTCTCAGCTCGCTTGCCCCCATCCCGGACAGGGGGGGGGAGTGAAGGGTGCATTCGAAGAAACAAGAACGCACATAAACATAAACTTTCGACGCTCCGCGCGGATTTCTCGGATCTGCGCTGGGGCCCCCTGGCGGCGCCTCCGGCGCCACCCCTGGCGCGCTCCGCGCGCCAGGGAGAGGGGCCCAGCGCAAATCCAAGAAATCCGCGCGAACCGCCGAAAGTTTTTGTTTATGTGTTTTTTCTTCCTATGGGTGGAAGAGGGAATTGCTCGTGGTGCCGCCGGGGCAGGAGCGCGGCACTGGACGAAGACCATGGCCTGCGCTGCGGTGAGAGCCGTCCCCATTTCCGGGTTCGTTTCGATCCGATCGATCCGATCGAGCAATTACAGATTTTGGCGGGCCTGGTCCGATTCGGCTCCGAAAGCCCGACGATCCGATGCGGTCCAGTGTTCGCATGGCCTTGTTGCGCATCCTGGCTCACCCGATCCGATTCGATTTCGATGCAGCCCGATCCTGATTACGAACGTTCCGATTCGATCCGATTTCCGGATGAACTGATCCTAAGCTTGCCCAAGCAGACACAAGCCCCCCTTCTGGGAATCGGCGTGTTGGAAACAGCAGGTGGGCGTAGTGGGGGCGAGGCCTCGGGGGCCATCATCGGGCCCTCCACCCCAGCCCTTCTTTGGATCACGTCAAGGCCTGCCAAGAGAGCCAGCTGCGGTTTTCTCCTCCGTCTGGGCTGAGTACTTTCCAGCTGAAGAACCGCCTTGGTTGACATTGCTTGCGCTTTAAACATTGACTTGCGACCAATGTCGGAGAGTAACAAAGCTTAGTTGTCCGCCACTCCCGCGCAGGTCGACCAGGTCATCACGCTGGACCGAAGGGGGCTCACGCTCGCGTCAAACTGCAGAGTGGTAAAGTTATTTGCCGTAATTTGGGAAATCTGGATGTCACAGGAAGCGTCCAACAAGCCATTGCCGCCTGCCTCATGCTCTTCTTGTCCTCGTCTTGTGCGTTAAAATTAACTGTATGAGGGGCTTCCGGGTACGCCTCAAAAGTTTGGTCTGAAAGTTCTATGACACGGCGTCGACCATTCGGAGGCGTGCGGGCTTGGCACACAGTCAGATGTTCTGGCTCGAAAGGTCGCCTGGGCTGCACATCAGGTCCTGACTGTGCCGAGATGTTTACATAATGGTCTGATGGTCTGCAAGTGCTTGGGCAACATGTAACGACACAGCGTTTCCTTTCAAGGCGGACGTGTGCCGCGTTGGCGTGTTCTGCATTCTTGGGTCTCCTCTACAGTGATCAAGGCAGTGGCATCCCAGGCTATGACCTTGGCTTCATTCTTGATGCGGGCAAAACGAAGTCTTGATGCAGGCTTTCAAGTGAGTGCAAGTGTCCAGTGCAGGTCGTGACACTCTGGACCAGCAGTTTGTCCCGCTCGCACGCAGAACTGCGCCCGGTCCTGTGGCATTTGCAACGAAAGCGTTTTCGCAATCCCTTGATTTACCTCTGCATCCGATCCAGGTAAGGGCAGAGGGTGTGATTGAAGCTGCGACTGGGGCACTCCAAGCTGACTTTGCGAATAGGTTCTTGGGAGGTGACGTGCTACGTGGCGGCAACGTTCAGAAAGAGATTCGATTCCCTGTGTGTCCGGGATGCTTGGTGGGCATGCTCTTGTGCGAGCAGATGCTTGACCACGAAGCGATCTTTAGTGTCGGCCCTCAGTAATGTAGTGATTACGCTGGTCATGGCGCCTCGTGCAGTTTCGTTGGGGTGAGAACTGCGCGGGAGCCGATTGACGCGCGCCAGCGAAACCCCATGTACATGATGTTGCTTTTGACGCGCTGTGCTTCCCTGGGGAGATGCAATACAGCCAGGGCCTCATCATTCGTGAATTTCAGAAAGTGTATGTCGCTTGCCAGGACGATGAGTGTAAAAGAACTCGGTGGGCGCCGACACTGCGTCGGCTGTGTCGGCAGCACTGCACCCCCCCCATCTGCGTCTGGAAACTGGGGGTTACGGCGTCTTTGGCGGCGGCCCGCAGCTTGAGTCGTTGATGCCCTGCCGCCTCGGCAAGCGAGCGCGAGCTCTTGTATTGCGTGTACGGCGACAGGCGAGTTGCAGGTCTGGGCGCAATCGTTTGCGAGGTACTCGCGCGAAATTGGTCATGCCGTGATTTGTTCGCCGCACTGATGCGATGCAGAGCAGGGTGCGTCGTCGAGAATTTGTTCGATGGTCGTCCCATACCAAATCTCGACAGCGCGATGGGAAAGCCTCCTTGTCGCAGACAGCAGCTTGTGTCGGAAAATGTGCGCGACTGGAAAGGTGAATGAAGTTCTGCCGAGTCGGGATTCTGATGTTCAGGCTGGTTCCGATATTCAGTTTATCGGACTTGATCTGCTGGGGCGTGCTGAAACCACGAGTTGACCCTTTGATGCGCCAGAAAGTCTCGGGGTGTCTTCTTCCTCGCGTTGGTGGCCCACGTTGCCAAATAATGCATGTACAGCTTGCTGTGCCATGGACTTCAGACGTGGCACAAGTACAAGCAATTGTAGATGTTTCACTTGCTGCCTTCCCCGTTTGACAGGAGGTCGCGGGCGGAGAGGCTGGCCATGGGGCAGGTGGGAAGTGGCTGCGCGGATTGGCTCGGATCAGGCAGGGTTTGCCGTGAGGTTGGCCGAGCGCTTGTGCGATATGGAGCATTCCAGAAAAGCGCCTCGCCTTCGGCGCGTCTTGTCATCGGCGGAAGCTAGCGGAAGCAAAACGATGGCGTAACCGCCGGCAGAAGTTGGCGGAAGCCGGCGAAAGTCAACTTCGGCCTGTCAAGAGGGTGCAGGCTGTTTTGGAACCATGGCCTCTGGAGCGAGCCACCGTGCTCTCGGACACGGACGGCTGCTGCGCGCAACCGAGTGGAGACGGCGGCCCACCCGGGCTGCGGTGCAGCCCAGGCCACGGAGGAAGCAGGACCGCCGCTCGGCAGGCGAGCCGTCCGCGCCAGGAGACGAGGGCGCAGGGTTGCAGCAGGGCTGGACCTAAACGCTGGTTTGCTAGGCTTCGGCGGTGTCTTGTGTTCGGTTCCGGGAGGGAGGTACAGGACAACGGGTAGGGCAAAACGAAAAACAAAACGAAAACAAGACGAACAACAAAGTTTAGGTCCAGCCCTGGGTTGCAGCGAGGCCTCCAGAGCTCACAGAGCCAGGCGCGCGTAGAGGGCTCGGGAGCCCCAAACATCCGAGGTCGTGATTTTTTCCATGCGGGGTCCCCGGAAATCTCGACCGATTCCCCAGGACCAGCATTCCATCCCGAGCCATTGTTTGACGGTCCTGGGGCCCGGCGAGGACCTCCAAAGGCCGAATTGCGAGAAGCTTCCGTCTTGATTCCAATGCGTTGGATCTCTGGGTCTTCTCGGGAGGTTCCTGGCCCAGGGGGGCAGCAGGGGGCCGTCGAGCGGCCCCGAGCGAGGCGCAGGCGTCGACGGAGCGAGCGAGGAGGAAAGGCCCGGGAAGGGGGAAAAGCTTCAGAGAGGCGGCTCCTGGGGCCACGCAGGCCGAGGAGCGGCTGGCCCAGCGAGGTGCCGGACATCCTGATCGCCACGCCAGGCCACCCGCGCGAGGAGGAGGAGGAGGAGGAGGAGGAGGAGGAGGAGGAGGAGGAGGAGGAGGATGAGGAGGAGAGGAGGAGGAGGAGGAGAGGAGGAAGGAGGAGGAGGAGGAGGAGGAGGAGGAGAGGAGGAGGAGGGAGGAGTGAGGGGAGGAGGAGGAGGAGGAAGGCGGAGGAGGAGGAGGAGGAGGAGGAGGAGGAGGAGGAGGAGGATGAGGAGGAGGAGGAGGGAGGGAGGAGGGAGTGAGGGAGGGGGAGGGAGGGAGGGAGGAGGGAGGGAGGGAGAAGGGAGGGAGGGAGGGAGGGAGGGAGGGAAGGAGGGAGGGAGGAAGGGAGGGAGGGAGGGAGGGAGGGGAGGGAGGGAGGTGGAGGGGGAGAGGGAAAGGGAGGTATGGGCGGAAGGAAGGAAGGAAGGAAGGAGGGAGGGAGGAGGGAGGGAGGGAGGGAGGGAGGGAGGGACGGAAGGAAGGAAGGAAGGAAGGAAGGAAGGAAGGAAGGAAGATGAGGAGGAGGATGGTGCCCTAGAGGGCCTTTAGGATCCCTAAACCCACGAGAGGCCCCAATAGAGTGCCTAAGTGTAGCAAGCAGTCTCACACAGCGCAACGAGCAGCAGGCACTGGTAATCAAACCCGAACAACAGCAAGGAGCTGGAACTGCAGCAGCACATGCAGCACGCGTCTCAAGCAGCAACGCTCCCCTTTAGTGCCTGGAGCAGGCATGTCAACATGTTTGGCGTGCTCGCCTTCTCGGCCCAACATGACCTCAAGAGGACTCCAGAAGGCTCCAAGACTGCCAAAGAGGCCCCAATGACCAGCTAAAGCGGCCCGGGAGGGCCCCAAGAGGCCCACGTTACGATAGGGCCTCCGAACGGCCCAATACGTTCCAAGAGAGCCCCAAGATGGCTTCAAAATAGGCCCGAAAGCACACAAGACGCTCCGAGATTGTTTGAAAGGCCGCGCGAAGACTCCCAGGCCCCCAAGAGGCTTCCGACATTTCCCCGAGAGGCCCACAACAGGCCCCCACGATTGCCCCGAGAGGCCCACAAGAGGCCCCCACGACGACCCTGGCATGCCCCTCCCCTGGGCGGCCCAGATGGAGCTCGAGAAGGTTCAGAAGGCTGCGAGACTGCCCACGCGGCTGGAAGAAACGCACGCCCCAATAGGGGAACGGTCTGGGTACGCGGCGTTGCGAGGATGAAGGAAGGGACCAGGAGAGAGAAGTGAGGACGGGGTGAGAGATGGCGGGAGGAGGGAGCGGGATTGAAAGATGATGGGTCAGATTGGATGATGGAACAGGGTGGATGGAGGGAATCTGGGCTGGGATGAGCGGATGGACGGATGAGGGAGGAGTGACGAGGGGATGGAAGGAGGGAGGGGAGGCAGGAATGACGGGACGGATGGATGGATGACGGATTGGCGGGGGAGGGACGCACGGACAGAGGGAAGAGTAAGGAGGAAGGAATTAGGAGGGACGGGCGGATTCATTGATTGAGGGAGGAGGGGGTGGGAATCGAGGGAGGAGGGAGATGGTAGCAGGAGTGACGGTGGAAGGACGAAAGGACAGAAAGATCCAGGAGCGGACGGTTGGAGGAGTGAGGTAGGAGGGATGAGGGATAGAGGGGTGAAGTGATGCAAGGATGGAATGGCAGAATGAACGAACAGCTTGGGGAATGGATGGGTCAACGGAGGGATTGGGGAATTGATGAATGGATAGGAAGGATTGAGGAACGTATACGTGATCTCTGGCTGTCACCCTCGACGATCCGTTGTCGGGAAGGTGCGAGAGAGGGGGAGGGACAGGCCAGGACGTCTGTGGCGACGCGGTCGGACCGAAGTATGAGATCGAGGTCGGTTCGGGGAGGGTGCCCCACGGTTCTTCGTGTTTGTTGGATGTTCTTGTGCATCCCAGGGGAGGGTACCTTCGGGTTATCTCATGCTTCGGGGTGGTTTGTTGGAGGATGTTATTCTGTCCCAGGTCCGACCGTAGTGCCGATTCGAGACGCCTGGTCACGCCTTCCCCAATTCGCCAGGTATCCGGTCCCCTTGTCTCGTCCTTGACCGTCCCAGCACTGCGGCCTCTGCTTCCCCCTCGCCCCTCACCCTGCCTCGCCGCCTCTCTGGCCGGCTCCCTGATCCTCCTCCTCCTCTTCCTCCTCCTCCTCCTCCTCCTCCTCCTCCTCCTCCTCCTCCCCCTCCTTGCCTGCATGCAACGCTGTGCCTCCTGCTCCTCCTCCTTGCCTCTTCCCTCCCCCTCCCTCCTTGCTTATCCCTCGTCCACCACCACCCCCTCTCCTTGCCTCTTCCCTCCCCCCCCCCACTAGGTGCCTTCTCCCTCGTCCCCGCCATCCTCCCTGCCTCTTCCCTCGCCCCCCCCCCATCCTCCGACCAAGGTCTGCCGCGGTCCCCCCTCCCGAGGCTCACCGCGGTGCGTCGTTGTCCCCGTCCCGGGATCGATCTCTGACGGGGGGCCCGAGGCGGGGGCCCCTCGCGGGCCGACGGTTTGTTGCCGAACCCCTCTCGCCGCCCTGGGGGACCCCAGCGATGCCGGGCCGATCCTGAGCCAGCACCGGCGCAGGCACATCGCTGGCGCCCTCCTCCCGTCGCCTGCCCCCGCTCCCTCCGCCGCCGCCTCACCCCGCCGTCGCCCTGCCACCCAGCCCTTAAAACCCCCCGCCCCCTCCCCCCGCTGCGCCCTCCCCCCCCGTTCCCCCCCTTCGCACAGACCCCCCAGCGCCCTCCCGCCCCCGTCCCGCTCCCCGCCCGCCCCGTCCCGCTGCCCCTCCTCCCGCCGGTCGCTCGCCCTCCCTCCCTCACGTCGCCCCTCCTTCACGACCGCAGGCCCCCCCCCCCCCCCCACCTCGCCCCCCTTCCCTCCCCCGACCGAGGCCCCGTGGCACAGGGCCTGAGGCCCTGCATCTCCGAGGACGAGATCGTGCGGCGCGAGGCGGCGGCCTGCGGCCGGCGGCCAGCGGCCGGCGGCCGGCCCCCTGAAGGTGCGGCGGGCCCTCCTTGGCGGCGCCCGGCGCGCCTGACTTGGGGGGCCCTCCCCCTCCCCTGCGCGGGAGGGAAGACCCAGAGATCCAGCGCGTGGGCAAAAGCAAGACGGAGGTGTTTCACAATTTTCGGCCTCGCCGTCGCCGCCCCCGTCGCCGTCGCCGTCGCCGTCGCCGTCTCCGTCGTCGAGGTCGAAGTCTCGAAGTCGAAGTCGACATCGTCGTCGCCCTCGTCGTCGAAGTCGTCATCGCCCTCGCCGTCCTCGTCCTCGCACTCGCCGTCGTCGTCCTCGCCCACGCCCCCCCCCGGGGGAGCCGGGTCCTGGAGGCTCTCCCCAGCCCGCGCGCGCCCGAGGGTGGCCCTCACTGGGGGGGCAACCAAGAGCGGCTCGTGATGGAAACCGGCCCCAGGGCGGAGGTCTTACCAGGCCCGCTTCCACCAGGGCCCCTCCCCGTGGAAAGGATAGGAAAGCCTCCTCCGCCTCCTCCTCCTTCTCCTCCTCCTCCGTTTCCTCCTTCTCCTCCTCCTCCTCCTTCTCCTCCTTCTCCTCCTCCTCCGTTTCCTCCTTCTCCTCCTCCTCCTCCTCCCTCCTCTCCTCCTCCTCTCTCCTCCTCCTCCTCCTGCCTCCTCCTCCCTCCTCCTCCTCCTCCTCCTCCTCCTCTCCTCCCCTCATCATCCCCCATCCCTCCTCTCCGCCTCCTCCTTCTCCGCCTCCTCCCCCTCCTGTCCTCTCCTCCTCCGCCTCCTCATTTCCTCCTCCTCCCCTCCTCCTCCTCCTCCTCCTCCTCTCGTCCTCCTCCTCCTTCCTTCCTCCTCCTCCCCTCATCCCCCAGCCCCCTCCTCCTCCTTCCGCCTCCTCCTTCTCCGCCTCCCCTCCCCCTCCTCCTCCTCCTCCTCCTCCTCCTCCTCCTTCCTCCTCCTCCTCCTCCTCCTCCTCTTCGTCCTCCTCCTCCTCATCCTTCTCCTCCTCCGCCTCCTCCTCCTCCGCCGCCTCCTCCTCCGCCTCCTCCTAGGACGCAGGGGCCCACGCTGTCCTGGAGAGGCCGGGAAGGCCAGGAAGTGCAGAGGCATCTGCATCAAGTGGTTCCTCTCTCGCAGACGCTGTCTAGGGAGCGACCTGACTATCGCAGTGCCTCGCAGTAGTGCCGCGACGCCAAGAAGGGACAGGCTCGCACGACGTACGTACAGTGGAGGCCCATGCAAAGAAACACCCTGCTTGCCTCCAGGGTACCCTGGCTTTCTTGGGTTTCGATGGTTTCGCCATAGAAAGCGTGACGCTCCCACACCCAAAACCAGTGGACGTCCTGGGGTCTCAGGGTTGGGTTCCTTATGGAAGATTTCTCGTGGGCTGGCCTCCACTGTACCCGCTCCCCTCGGACCGACCTCCCCTCCCTCGCGGCTGGCTCCCTTCCTCCCTTGCTCCTTCCTCCCCTGCAGAGTGCCCGCTTCGAAGGCCAGGCGCGAATATCTCGACAGGATTGGACGCGGCCTGTTCCCCAAGCGCTGAGCTTTAAGCCTGGTTATCACTACGTGATGGCGGAAATCCTGGACATCCTTCCTCCCCTGCATCCTCCTCCGCCTCCTCCGCCTCCTCCGCCTCCTCCGCCTCCTCCCTCCGTCTCCTCTCCTCCCCTCCTCCTTCCTCCTCCCTCTCCTCCTCCTCCTCCTCCTCCTCTCCCTCCTCCTCCTCCTCCTCCTCCTCCTCCTCCTCCTCCTCCTCCTCCACCCCCTCCTCCTCCTAGGGCCGAGAGGTCCACGCTTTCCTGGAGAGGCTGGGCAGGCCAGAAGTCCTGGACATCCTGGAAAAGTCCTCCCCCGCCTCTCGCCACGGGCACGCCGCGCAGGCTCGCGCCACGAGGCTCTCCTCGACGGCGCGGGGCGTGTCCGCGCCCGCCGGTCAGACGGTGGGAGCTCCGAGCGCCTGCTCGGTCCGGGGGCAACGCTCGAAAGGGGGGCAGGCTCACGGCCAGAGGAGGAGAGGGTACACACCCATTGTCCACCTCTAATTCTTCGAAGGTGCTGCTTCGATTTTTTTGGGGCCCAGGTCCTTTCATTTCTACTTGATCTATCCTGGGCCTCTTCCTGGCCACCAGGGGGCCAGGAACAATTACAAACGAGCACAATCAGAAATGAGCACGAATAGAAGTGAACGACGTGCGTGTACCCATACCTCTACCCTTCCCTCGTTTTCCTCTTTTTGGGCCTCCTCGGATGCCCTCGTCGCCACCTCTGGATTCGCCTCGAAATCCTGGTCAGCACGTACCCCGGGAGAGGTCCGGAGAGTAGCGGTGGCGGAAGTTACGCGGATGCGTGGGGAAAGCGTATCTTGGGGCTCTTTTTCCTCCAACGCAGCTCGAACAAAAGGGCCTGCGGGCATGTCATGAATTGATGGCGTCCGAGTCACTCAAGATCCCGAGCACGCCGCCTGGCCGAGCGGGGGGCGGGTGGTGAGCCCGCTCCTCCTCGGACACCCCTCGGGTCACCACTCCCTCCAGGGTCCTAGAAAGTGAAACTAAAACCCGCAGTGCCTCGACGCATAGTCGCGGAGGTCTAGGCTCGCGCCCATGGCGCATCTAAACAGTACACGGCCCAAGGCCCTACTCGGACCACCCCCCTTGTTCTCTCGGTCCCAAAGGCTGGAAACGGGGGCTGGTCGTCCACCAGGTATATTTAACCTGGCTCTGGGTGGCAACCGTCCTGCTGCGGTCGCCCTTCTTCGTCTTGATCTTCACTGCTGGCTCGCTCGACCCCTCGATCGGAGCACGATGTGGCCTCCCGCCGTCGCCACCGCGCGGCAGGGCACCCGTGTGGCACCAGCTCGGCCTTGCACACGGGCAGAACCAGCAGGTCAAGGAAAACCTTAGCAAAGCAAGCAGGAGCCCTAGGCTCACGCCCGCCATCAGCACAGTCAGGCTCACGTAGTAGCCCTCGGTCGTGACTCCTGGCATGTCCACTGGAGTCAGCGCACTCTCGTCCATCTCCTGCGGTGCCTCGCACAGCTCGGTCGAGCTTCCCTGCACCGCTGTGGGGAGCGACGCGGCCACTGCAAGCAACACCTTCAGCAGGTTTGACTGGGCCTGGAAGTCGGTCGACATGGCCCCGACTCCAGCTACCCTCGAGGTCCCTGGCACGGGCACCTCCTTCAACCCGCAGCTCTCGCGGAGCCACTCGAGGCGTGTCCTCGGCAACACCTTTGTGCCAAGATCCGCCAGGTTGTCGTCACCAGCTACAGGCTCGATGGTGATGACCTTCTTGGCTACCAACTGCTGAATCCAAAGCGTCTTGGTGGCAAGGTGCTTGATCCGCCCAGTGCCCTGACGCCTCGCCAGCGCTCTCGCACTCGAGCTGTCGCATCGCCAGCTCATGCGCACGCTGTAGCCCATGAACGTGAAGAGAGCCTTCAGCCAGAGCCCCTCGCTGAGACCTCGAGCTCCAGCGTGCCACTCGGCTTCACAGCTGCTAAGGGACTACACGTCCTGATGACAGCTGATCCCGAGCATTGAACACCCACACGCAGTGATTTGCACGCTGGTCTGGCTCTTCCGCTCCTTCGTGTCGCCTGCCCAGTCGGAGTCTGTCCACACGACCAGGTCGACGATGTCGTGCGGCGTGGTGGGCTTGGCCATCCTCACGCCCAGGTCCCTCGTGCCCTTCAGATACCTTGCCAGCCTCTTGAGGGCTCGCATGTCCGCCTCACGGGGCGATGAGATGCACGAGGTCAGGTAGTTGATGTCTAATTGAGCATAGTCACGGTCATGCAGGTAGAACAGCAGGCACATGGTCACGCTCCTGAACAGCTTAGCCTCGTCTGGGCTGAGGTCGGGCGTGTCGTCCCTGCCTGTCCTGTGTGCCTCCACCCCGGGGGTGGCGCACGGGTTGCCCTCCTCGAGGCCTAGCGCCTCCAGTGCCTTTATGAGGTACTTCTCGTTGGGCTGAATGTAGGTAGCGTCGGCCTCTCGCACGCGCCGCCTCTTGAGAAACTCGTAGTCGGCACCGTCGCCCTGTAGGCCTGACCACTTCACCTTGATGTCACGGCCCAGGTCCAGCACGAAGTCGGACCCTGCGACTCCAGGCGCCGTGCCGTACATGTCGTCCATGTGCAGTTCCACCAGACATGGGAGCTCGGCATGCCAGAAGAACTGTGGCGCGGTCGGCGACCGCTCGAAACCCCTGGCCATGAGCTGGTCCGCGGCGAACTCGACCCAGTGCTTCCCTCCAGCACGCCGTCCTGGCAACTGCTTCGCGAGCTGCCAAACGTAGTCCTCAGTGTCGCCCTTCGCGCGGCACTCTTCCAGGACTTCGGGTGGGCACTCGACCCACACGTCCTCCTCTTCGGGGACATGGTAGTACGCGTCCTCCGCGTCCACGGTGAAGGTGGGCCATCCGTGCTTCAGAGCCACAACATAGTCCACCACTCGGCTGTCGGCCATGCTGCTCCCTGGCGTGAAGAGGTCGTCGCGGTACTCCTGCCGCTTGAATTCTCGCGCGACGTACCTTGACTTAGCAATCCTGCATCCGAGATTCGCGTCCCACTTGTAGACGTGGTCCCAGCGGGCGCTGATCCTCTCGCCGGCGGCCTCGCTCCGTTTGACAAGCTTGCCCACCCCGTACTGCTTCAGGCCGTCGAGGGCCCGCTTGGTGGAAGCCTCGATCAACTGCGAGTCCGACGCATCGTGGGGATCAGGGACATCCATGTCCCTGAGGATCTGCAGGAAGTCAGGCCGAACGTCATCACAGTGCTCAGCTGCTACTCCGCTAACTCGGGACCTCGCAAGAGTGCCTCGGTTGTCACCCTCCTCCGCGGGTCGCTTCGGCGATCGACCTATCGGGGGCGTCGTCATGGGGGGTGTCGTCCCCAGCGCCGCCTCCAGCCGACGTCTGCGTCGCTGGCTCCGCCTGCCTGTCCCCGGCGGTCGCCTCGGCACCGCCTGGCGTGTCTGCCGAGGGCGCCGC